AGCACGGGTGGGATAGAAGAGTCATGCAGCCATCATGGCGAATACAATCTGCCACAGTCAACAAAAGGCAGGAGTCAGGCGGCAGGACAGGAGCCCGGCGTTACTCTAATTCTCTTCCTGTTGTGTGCACCTACCTGGCTGCAGCCTCCGGTCAGCTAATGAGCTCTGGCCCCTTCATTTCATTCTGTTTTGCTTGTGGACTAACCCCTAGACCACCAAGGTGTCGTAGTGTCTGCTAGACTGGGAGTGACTCATTTCCTGCCACACCAGGGTCAGGGCATTTTAATTTCTTACCGCCAGTTCACACCTCCTCTCCCGGTGGGTCATGCTGCTTGCAGTACTCGGCTCTGCTTTCCTCCTTACCTTTTTTCCACTCTGCTATACACTGTGCTTCCTCCTCCCGCCACGTAATTGTTGATGTTGCCCCCATTTCCCAGATTGTTCTTTCTCTTCCATTTACGGTTTATTGATTTTTCAAAGTCGACATCAAAGCAGTTGATTCTGTGATGCCTTTGCCCTGGCCTGTCTCGCTGGGTGGACTCCACGTCCCTGCGTGTTTGGTCTGTTTTCTGGCTCCCAGATGTTCCTTCGTGGAAGGGACCTGGGTTTCCCGTGTGTCCCTCTAATCCTGTTTGTTGACTGACTGACAAATGTTCTCTGAGTGCTGATTGGGCCGGGCCTTACATGTGTTACCTCGTTGAACCCTTAAAACAGTCTTCCATGCTTATTTTCATTTTACTTAGGAGGCTGAGAGGTTATGTGTCCTGCCCAGGGCAGCAGGACAGGGGTGTGAGTGCCTATTGTTACTCACTGCACTGGAGGCCTCGTGTGCTCCAGGAGAATGGCTATCACGAGAAGAAGTTTTGATCCTTTTAGCAGTATTTATATTCAGAATGTGTGTGACTTGGCTGCGGAGTATGGGCAGTACTGTATACTGTTATTAATACATTAACCCCTCGTTAAATCCTTTCATAAAGTTATTACATGTCATTTATTCAGTTTTATAGAGCTAATAAATCCTACTTAGAGTCTTCTAACAAATCACTGATAAACCAGTGTTAGAAGTTGATTTTCCCCAAATCATAGTTCCTGGGGAAAGGAAGATGCCCTCTGCTAAGCTTCAGTACTGTCAGGCCCTCACGTAGGAACAGGCCATGCTACCAAGTTCATTCACATTGGCCGTGTGGAACTTCCTCTCCGAGGGAGAACATGGGATCTTAAACTTGGTGTCTAAGTCCTCAGGGCCGGCGGCAGTAACGCATTTGCTTTACAAATCCCATCCCATTGGGACCAAACGAGCCAAGTGATACTCGGTCTGTAACGCCCATGTGCTGTGTGTGGGGCACTGGGACACGGGGCTCTTATGTGAAATTCAGGGCTCTCCTGGGGTGTCAGGGTCATGGCCACCTTCTGTAGCAGTGGACCTGCGCGTGTCCTCCCCCTCTTTCTTCCCACAGCCCTCTTGCTGACCACCTGAGTGGAGGACTCCTCCGTCCGTACACTCCCTGTGGTGTACCCCTGTGGGCTGAAAGGTGGGCCTTTTGGCGAGGGCTGACCCAGGATAGGGAGCTCCTAAGATTAAGGGGTTCTGGAGGGAAAGGTTTTCTAGTCACAACCCCCCTTTTTGGGGGGCAGTCCCAGATAATGCCTGCTTGCTTCCTTTTCCACAGTGGCTCCTTTGTCTCAGTGTGAGTGAGTTTGTGTGTGTGTGTGTGTGTGTGTGTGTGTGTGTGTGTGTGTGTGTGTGTGAGAGAGATATTACTGAGACACGGAAACATGGACCCAGTTTATCCAATAATTAGTGAAGAAAACAGCCACATAACCGCCTCCTACAATGAGAAATGGAGCGTTGTCTGACCTCAGAAGCTCCCCGGTGTGTTCCTTTCCTAGCACAGCTCCCTTCCTGCCCCCTGGTGGTAATCACTGTTAACTCCTTTTATGGAAATAATTTATTGTTTTTCTTATAATTTTATCACCTAATAATGTATCCCCAAACAGTTTTACCTCCTCTTAAACTTTCCATAAATGAAACCACACTAATTGTGTTTATTTGTACTTCTTCTGCTCAGTATACGTTTAAGATTCATCCATGTTGTGACATTTTGATACAGGTAATTTTTTTGCTGTGTGGCATTTTATTGTATTAATTTGCTAGGGCTGCCATAGCTAAGTACCACAGACTGGGGGGCTTAAACAACAGATACTCATTTTCTCACAGTTTTGGAGGCTGGAAGTCCAAGATCAGGGTGTCAGCAGGGTTGTTTTCAGTCTGGGCCTCTTTCCTTGGCTTGTAAATGGCCATTTTCTTCCAGTGTCTTCATGTGGTCCCCCCTGTGTGTGTCTGTCCTAATCTTCTCTTATGAGGACACCAGTTCTATTGGAGTAGGGCCCACCCTAGTGACCTCATTTTTCCTTCATTAGCTGTGTAAAGGCCCTGTCTCCGTAAGTCACATTCTGAGGTTAGGACTTCAACACAGGACTTTAGGGTGGGGGATAGTTCAGCCCCTAACACCTATTGTGAGGTTAGACCACAGTTAGCCATCATATTACCCGATGGGCATTTTGATTATTTCCAGTTTTACACTATTGTGTACAGTGCTGCTGAGAACATTCTTACACTGTATAATGGTGCAAATGCCTCAGCTTCCCTAGGCCAGGACAGAGCATTCTGTCCTAGGAGTGACTTGCTAAGTCGTGTCGTGTAGTGAAACATGTAGATAAATCCAGTCTCTTGTTCCGGTTTTTACTCCTGCCAGCACTTTGTGGAGATTCCTGTGGTTCCACATCTCTCCAACATCTGGTATTGGCAGCCTTTTTAATTTACACCAGTGTCTTGGTGTGCAGTGTTATCTCATTGGGGTTTAATTTGTATTTCCTTTATTATTAAAGAATTTGAACATCTTTTTCTTTATTTATTGTCCATTTGGATTTTGTGATACATGTGTTCAATTCTTTTGCCCATTTTTCTATTAGGTGATCTGGCTTATCCTTATTGATTTACAGGAGTTCTTTAAATATTATGGGTATGAGTCTTTTGTTATTTATATATATTGTGAATACCTCCTCAAACTCTGTTGCTTGTGTGTTTTCACTGCATTTATAATATCTTTGGATAAATAGGAATTCCAGATTTTAATGTAGTCAGTTTATCAATCTTTTCCTTTATAGTCGCTATTTTGAATATGTATCTTAAACATATTTCTCTGTGGTTGTTAAGATATTTTTCTGTTTTATCTTGTAAAATGCTTATAATTTTGCATCTAACATTTAGATTGGTAATATGTCTGGTACCAACTTCTCCGTATGGTGTGAGGTAGGACCCAGCTTCATTTTCCCTGTGGATAGTCAGTTGTTCTGGCATCATTTATTAAGAAGACACTCCTTCCCCAACTGTCTGAGCCACCGAGTCATAAATCATGTGCAGAGTAAATGCCCTGATCTGCTTCTAGATGCCCTCTTCTGTGCCACTGAGCCATTTGTCTGTCTGCAAGGTCTCACACTGACGTGAGCCTCACTGCTTGTAATAAGTCATGAAATCTGACAGAGCAGTCCCACCCATCTCGCTGCTCCTCTTCCAGTGTCTTGGTCATTGGTCATCCTTGGTTCTTTCCATTCCGATCAGCATGTTAGTATCTGCTTGTCTGGTTCCACAAACAGACTTGTTGGGATCTTAATTGGAACGTCTTGACTCTGTAAGAGCGTTTGAGGGAGAATTTTCAATATCATGAAAGACAAAACAAGGAAAAAATAAACACTGGGGGACTATTTCAGATTAAAGAAGAGTAAGGAGATATGATAACTAAATGCAATGTATTGGGGTTGTCGGAAAAGTCATGACACATTTTTGCAATGAAAAACAGAAAAAATACATCGTGACTTTTCTGACAACTTAATATGATGGTTTTTAAGAAAGTTATAAAGGCCTGGGACAAATGGGGACATTTAACCTGGATTGTGTATTAGATGCTACAAACATACAAGTGTTAAATTTCCGGATAAGTATGACTGTTGAATGGATATCTTTGTTGTTAGGAGATAAATGCTGAAGAATTTCAGGTGAAGTGTTCTGATGCCTACAGCGAGCTCTCAATTCAGAAAAGCAGGGGAGGAGAGGAGAGGAGAAGGGAATGATAATGGCAAAATGTTAACAATTGGTTAACCTACACGAAAGACACATGAATGTTCACTGATTTTTTTTTTTTTTTACTTATAGATTTAAAATTTTTCAAAATAAAAGTTGGGGAAAATCAAATTTTATTTCATATACATATCAGGAAATAGTAGAGAACCAGATCCAAACTAAGGATGCATTATCTTAGTGTACTATGTTAAGCAGATTTGCCACTGAAAGTGATAGTAAAACAGCAAGCATGATTGGTTATTTTAAAAACTCTGTGGTTTGTTTGAGCTGACTCAATCCACATTTCAATCATACTGGAGCAGTAAATGTCTGTGGGCTGGCTCTCCAAGTAAAATATACACTAAATAAGCATTTTGTGCCAATTGCTGATTTCCTGAAAAAGAAAACTAGATTTAAAATAACTAGTGATAGAGTTGTGGAATTCTTTTCTGATATCACACTAAAGAGGGGAACAAAATAATTCATAGAAATAATATTCCATGCAGTTCTAGTTTTATAAAACTTAGGCCAAATATCTATAGTTTATTTTCTACTAAAAGCATTTCAAGTGCTTGAATACTAATCTTGTTAGTTTTCATAAAGGATCTCAGACCCTTTGTTCTTATTGCAAGTATCCATCCCAACAATAGTTACGGAGAACTCTTGAGTTCGTTTCAATCTTCAGTTACTGCAACCAAGGCACATAGGAAGTTAAATGACTGCACGAGTCACACAATGAGTTGGTGGGGCCAGTGGACTTGCAGTTACCGACTCTTCATTGCATTTGTCTCTCTTTCTTCTTCTGAATGTTAATATGTGATTTCTCCTTAACATGATTATAAAGAAAAACATCTAACAATAGCAAAAAATCTTCTAACAGCAAAAGGAAGAACAGAGCTTCTGAAGATCAATCTTCGTGAGGTTGAGCTGGATCCTGATATTCAACTGGAAGATATAGCAGAGAAGATTGAGGGCTATTCTGGTGCAGATATCACCAATGTTTGCAGGTATCGTTAATGACCTGTCACCCTATACATTAGTTACGCGTTTGTCTGGAGGGCTGGTCTAAAAGTCAGTGTAGTTGTTAGCTCTTGACGTGAAAACAGCTACCCATTTCCTTCTCATGGTTTCCCATGTGTCTTGGTTTTTTCTACAGAACTTCATTAGATGAGTACAGTAAAACCTTGGATCGCGAGTAACTTGGTTTGCAAGTGTTCTGCAAGATGAGCAAACATTTCTAATACATTTTAACGTGGTAAATGAGCGATGTCTTGCAGTACGAGTAGTTTGTTTCTGGAACAAATTATGCTCGCAAACCAAGGTATTACTGTAATTACATAACAATATGGTCACCTTTTTATCCTTTGATTTTTAAGAAATTAGCCTAATTTGGTAACAGTGACTGACAACTTCAGGTTAATTTAGCCCTAAAGTAGAGCATGGCTGCATCAACGTAAAATCTCATTTAATTTTGGTCTGCGTTAATTTGCCATATGAGATGAACAAAGTTGATCCGTTTAAGCTGTGAAAGATATATATATTACAATTTTCCTTTCAATTTAGTGATATCAGAATTTTTAGACAATTCACATTGCTTAATGAAAATGTTTCACATTAAGCAATGTGAAAAGGATTTATTTTCTTTTAGTTCTTACTTTCCTAATTATACTTAAATTGACATCAGTGGCCTCTTTAAAACCACATCTGTGTTTCTTACTTTTTTTACCAGTATTTTTCCTGTATGCATCTAAGTTTAGTGGCACACATTACGCTCACAGTAGTTTCTACCACTATAACTATACTGAAATATATAAAAACTTGAACTTTCGATTGGTTTGGCTTCATAGCTTTTCTGTGAATACTAATTGTCCGTTTCTTCAAAACCGTCATAGTTATTTACAAGTGATCAAAATGCAGCTGAAAATAGGATCTGGAGAAGTCAGATTTTTCTCCCTGTAGTTGCCCACAAATACTCCCTGTAGGGAATTCCATGTCTGGTGTGGCTAGATTCACACTCCAGAGATGGGTTCCTGGCTTTACCTCTTCGCTTTAGGTTGTAGACAAACCGATATAGGACTTGAATTATCTTAACATTTAGCCACATGTTCATTTCCAAGTGTGAAATTCAGTATTTCAAAATTCTACTTCCACTTCCCAAGCTCCTAGGCTGCCTTTGAGGGGCAAGTGGGGAAAAGAAAATTCAATGCTCTGAGCCCAGCCTGGACTTCTAGGATTCATTTACAATCCATTTTATGTTTAAGTCCTTTGCATCCTGTTTTAACCTTTCCTGAACCCCCAGGATGTCTCTGAGTTAGAAAGTTGCCCGCAGCATCATGAAAACATGTCAGGTGACCTTTTGAATGCCTTCCCCTAGCTTGGTTTCACTGATGGGGTTTCCAGCATTTGCAGCAGAGGTTTCTCACTGACTTTGGTGCCCTTGCAGGGATGCGTCCTTAATGGCCATGAGGCGGCGCATCAACGGCCTGAGCCCAGAAGAGATCCGCGCGCTCTCCAAAGAGGAGCTTCAGATGCCTGTCACCAAGGGAGACTTTGAGCTGGCGCTGAAGAAAATCGCTAAGTCGGTCTCTGCTGCAGACTTGGAGAAATATGAAAAGTGGATGGTGGAGTTTGGATCTGCTTGAATTTCTCTCAGCTCTTCCATGTCTGGCATCTTTGTTTATAAAATGTGAAGAAATTCCCTGCAATTATTTTCAAAAACAGGCTTAGAACTTTTCTTGGGAGAGATTTTCACTTAAAGGAAGACCATCCACAGAGTGTAAATGTCATTGAAAAGTAAGAGAAGCTGACACAGAAGGCCTGATGACCTCTGTCCCCAGCTGTGTGCTGGTACCCCACACATTCATGCATTACTATTGCACCCCAAACCAGGTGCCAGGGTGGCGGAGGAAAGGCATCTGTGCTTTGTGGAAACTTGTTTACGAAACACTTAGAAGGACCTCTATTTCTCACTTGCATTTGTGGGTTTTTTACTATTCATTGCTCTGGACATGAGGGACCTATATACGGTGACTTTCAACGTCAGAACTGAGTTTGTGTCAAATTCGTTATTTGTTAAGAATGATAGTTTTGGGTTAAGTAAAGAATATGAGAGTTAAACCTCTAGAATGCAGCTATTCTTGTGAGAGTCTACCCTGTAGTTCGAATTTTTGCCCCCTCCCCCCACCATTTCTTCTGTTAGCTGTTTCATCATGTACTGAGCCCTGTGAGGGACTATCCTCACGCCTTGTGGTTTTTGAATCATTTTGCGAGGTGGTCTCTCTGGTCTTGAGTACTTTTTGCCCATATTGTTCATATTTCATATCAGAAGGGTAGGAGAATGTTATGATTGCATGAGATGCACTTCTCCAGTCTAGACGAGAAGTTCGTTTTCCCTTTTCTTTCAATGTGGTCAAACACATAAACCCTTTATTTGTTCAGCTCCAACACTGTTTGATTTTTGCTGAATTTGACTTTGGTATTCTAAATACTTTCGTCCACTCTTGTGGCTAATGCAAAACGAACAAAACAAATTTTATAGTTTTTCAGATAGCTGGTTTAACAAAATAATGTTGTCCATAATGAACGATGTTCATTTTAAAATTTTAAAATTGTTCTTTGTCTGGGTTGAGAACTTGTGTACGTGGTAAGATTAGTTAGGGTAGAAATCTGCCATGCTCATTCTGTTCAGCAGGAATCAGACAATGGAAAGAGGTCAGAAAAAGTAGATGGCACATATCTAATCCCAAGCACGGTATCCTTGTGCTAGCTGTTTAAATTACGTTTATTCTCATTTGGCTGGGCAACCTATGCTTTAATGGTCAAGCTTTTTAAAATTTGTATGTGATGATATCCCGAATTCTCAACTTTGAAAAGCATCTACTGGTTTAAAATTAAAAATAATGTAACTCTGTAAACGCTTAGGGAAAAAAGCTTTGTAGTATCTTGCTTAAGAGATTTTCTCCTTATTTTAAAAACTATGTAATTTTCAGATAACTTAAGCCTGACACTAAACTCCAGTATTCATCTAATGCCCTTTCCTCTGAGGCATAAGAGTTAAAATCATAAGGCATTGCGATTTTATTTTCATTGAATTAATTCACCTTAAAAATTGAATGACAGAAGTTTCCTGTTATTCATTTTAAGTAAAAAAAAATAATCCTATTAAGATAATCTTGCAAAATTGGCATTCATAACATTTTTTCCCTGAAGTCATAGGAGTAATCATTAAAATACTAGTGTTTTGATTGCTAGAACTTGTTTGTATACTTTAGTTGATCAGTTAGACCATTTTTCTAGGTTTTGTGTTACCAATTTTGGCATGCATGTCATTTAAAAAAAAATTCTTCATGGATAATGATATGGTAATTGTGATTTTAAAAAATCATCAGTTAAGCAGTATTTGGAAACTCAAGCTTTCTGGAAGCTCATCTTTCCCAAGATAAGTGAGTCAGGTGCTTTTTCATTTCCCTTGTTTCTCAGTTTGCTCTGTCAGTGGATGGTGAATGCTCTTCAACCCCTTAAAGCTTCCGGAGGAGACCCCTCAGGTGTCGGTCCAGACTTTGCAGTACACGTGTGTGCGCTGTCTTTATTGCAAGACAGTATTGCCTTACCCAGAATGAGAGCATTGTTAAATGCTTTGCTGTTTTATTTTTTCCATGTTGCATTATCAAATTAGAAAGATTTGGTTCCTCTAATTCACCTAAAAGCACAAATATTTTGAGTCCTATGCACACGATGTTAGGACTAAGTTTGTACAGTTCTGTCCTGCAGGGAACTGATCGATAGTTCCTGCATTAAGCGCTTAGACGTGCTTCGGTTGCCCTCTGTGTACAAGACCCCAGATGGGAGCTGTCTGACTGGCTTACAGAGTTGGACCAGGAGTGCAGTTCGGACCGGCACTTTCTATAATATAGTTATGCTATAGCTTCTGGCTCCAACTCATAAATGGAGAGGCACCGTGATCGGTGTGCTTTAGACCGATAATATAATATGTAAGAGGTTTTCTCTTTTTCTCTCTTTAAATCTGTTTTGAAATTAGAACTGATATCTATTTGTTAGAACAATATAACTAGTATAGATCTAGCTATTTTCATGAATCATTTTTATCATTTCCTAAGTTACATTTTCATTGTTAACATGTACACATGTAATTTTGGTAGACATGTGAAATGTTACATGTTTTTGTGAACATTTTGCTCTCATAATTCCTTCATTTTTTAAAGACATTAATATTGATGAAATGTACCAGATAAGTGGTTCTTCAGTGTAGGCTGGAACCTTCTAGTAATCCAAGTAGACAGTAGACGATAGCATCACAGGGTTTGTCTTGTGGTCAGTAGCAGCGTAGGCATTCCAGACTGACCAGACATATTTGGACTGGGACCTCGGCCTCCAGAACACCAGGACAGCCTGGGAGAGGACACACGGGGTCCAGCAGCGTGGTTAGTTAGGGGCGTCATTGGAGCCCCTGAGACTACAGTTTTTATGATGTAATATTTGACTGTTAAAAATAGGCTGAGGTCACTAATTACTCAAAAAGTGAGCAGGCAAGTATCTGGTGAATCTACTATGAACAAACATACAGATACATCAGGGGGGAAATGTGGGTGTATAGCCCAAATTTATCATATAATCGTCACTCTTTCACTTTGCTACATGTAGCCTGACTCTACTGAACATGAAATTACTCATAGTCTTTACGTTTTGAGCAGCTTGAATTGTTGAATTTCTTTCTAGGAAGTTTCTATTTTTACTGTTGAATCTACGATGTGAGTCATAAAACTAACCAGCTGACATGGCTGTGTCTCACTTTCCCCAGCCTAGCCTGAGGCCTGGTGAACACTTAGGCAGGTTTGCTGGACTCAAGTATTGTCTTGCTTATTTAGTCTTTTTTGTGTAGTAGTAGATTCCCACTCCTCCTTTGATCTTACTGATGGTAAATCACCTTAGGATATATCCTGGATAATAGGCTTAAAACATTAAGGATATTGGCTGGCCTTTTCCAAGAAAGGGCCACTTTAACTTATATGAGGAAACTATAGTAATTATTCTTTCAGTATTTTTGGTATCTTTTGTCCTTAACTATTTTGATTTTATAATATTTTTTACATACCACTTACTTTGTGATGCACATAATATTTATGTGGATCTAAGAATCTGTCACAAGAGAAAGTAGGAATTAACAGTTGGAGGGAATGTTAGAGGAAAAAAATATTTAAACCCCAAATGTTTCATTGTCATCTCCACTAATTCTTTTTGCAGAAAAAGCTAAAAATTCTGTTATAATGACTGTGTTTACTTATTTATATTTTTCATTAGGTTTTTCATATTTATTTAATTTTTAGGATATTTGCTTTTAATATTCTTTCTTAATGTGGAAACTGTATTATAAGTATTTTAAAAATAAAATCCTTAAGATAATAGATACGTTTTTAAACATTCACAAATTAACAATAATTATTTGAATTTTTATTCTTTTTTTTAAAGATTTTTATTGGGGAATTGGGGGAAGGGGAACAGACAAGATGCTGTCCTTTTGTTCTTCAGTCTAGTTGTGGAGGATGTTGCTTCACTGGCCCATGTTGGTATTATCATTGTGCTCTTACCGGCTGAGGCAGATTGGTCGCTGGCCTCTGGACGGCCACTCACGGCAGCTCTTGGCAGCTCATGCCAGCTGCCGGCCGCTCACGGTAGCTTATGGCAGCCCACTCCAGCAGGAGTTGCAGCCTTCTCCATCGCCGGCAACTCACGGCAGCCCAGCTCCATGTCGAGCTGTTGTTCACCATCTTAGCTGTAGAGGGCGCAGCGTCACTGGCCCTCATGTGGGATCCAAACCAGGGCCCTGCTGCTCAGAGCTGGCATCCCAAGCCAACTCTTAAACAATGTGCCACTCGGCTGGCCTGAATTTTTATTCGTTTTTTAGGCTTCGGACAACTCTTTAGCTTAAATATTTCTAAATTTCCAGGTGACTCATTAATAAAAACAGAAAAAGAATTAAGGTAATGTCATAAAATTTATTCTTTCTTTTTTACCTTTCTCATTTCTTCATTGACCTTATTTTATATATGTGTGTAAATAACCTGGATACTACTTTGTCACCAGCAGTGTATAAGCTGCTGTACATTGGAAATTTGGCACAACAAATAGGAAATTAAAATAGAGGTTTTCCTCCTATAAACAGGCTCTCATTTGATTTTATGTTCAAAACTATAAAATGCACTTTTGTTTTATAGCCTCTGAAATGACTAAATGTTGCCCTTTGGAAAACCTGGCTGAATCTTTGCACATGTTATTTCCAGAGTCTACCTCAGTTAAACAGGATTAGTTTTAGGTGGAAAGGAATTGAAACCGCATTTAAATTCAGTTCATCATCTATGCAGATTTGTGTGTTTAAGTGTTTCCTTCTCTTCTCACCATCTCCCCATTAACTTTGTTTTAACCCTGACATTTTTATTTAAAATATTTGTCTTCCTCTGGCAAAGCCACATATTTCAAATCAAGCTTCTGTGAAATGTCCGAATTATTCTTCCCCTCTTGGTTATGGCCTGTTCACTGTTTGGATGTGTTTCATTTCAAGGAGCAGTTTCAAACACAACACACATCCTCCTGTTTTCTTGTAGCTTCATAAATACGAGCTAATGTGACAGCATTGGATGTCTGGGAATCCCACTGTTCCTGTCCATTCTCTAAGAACCTGAGTACTTCCTGGACACACACGGGTGACACGCCGTCAAGATGGCGGATGGCAGCAGTTCACGTGGTGTGGACAGTGTCCAGTGAGATCACTTCACTACCTGTTCGCTGGTTTGTGTGTCATTGAAATTTTTGTTTCAGTGTTTGTCTCCCAGTATTTTGAACTTAATTTAAAGGGAAAGATGTTTCTAAATTGTATTTATTAAATGTGATTTTTCTTACATTTTGTGCTGCTACTTTGCTAGTTTCATGTGCATAGATGTGTCTGTGCATAGGTTATAATTTGGTAATAAATTTCTAGAGTGTTGCTAGTTGGTGTTTTTTTTGTGGTTCATATTTGATCTACAGCCACTGGTCCACTTGTTGTCATCAGGGGGAGTGACAAACCCCTCACCAGTGAGGAATGACTTTCCCAGAGCTTTAGTTCTTACAGAATTGCATACTGTAAACCTGACATTTTGTGTTCGCCATGCACTGTACTAATAATTTCAAGGTTAATGCAGGTAAGACAAGTGGCTTTTCAGCTGATTCTAACTGGTTTGATAAACACACTTGTGTTATTTGTGTAGCACCAGTGCAAAACAGGTGTTTCATATGGTGGATTTTCCAGATGACTATGTCTGATTTTATGAATCCCCAAAATTATTTTTTTAATTCACAGACTTGATTTTTTTTTGAGTTGTTTTAGGTTTACAGAAATATTAAACAGCAAGTAGAATTCTCGTATTTCCTCCCTCCCATCCCTCCAGTTTCCCCTTTTGTTAATATCTTGCTTTGATGTGGTACATTTGTTATAATTGAATTCATATTGATACATTATTATTGCTAAAGTTTATAGTTTACATTACGGTTCATTCTGTGTTGTAGAGTTCAGAGAGTTTTGACAAAAGCATAATGTCATGCATCTACTATCACAGTGTCACACGGAATAGTTTCCATGCCCTAAACATCGTCTGTGCTCTGCCTGTTCACGTCCCCCGTCCCCATAGCCCCTGGCAGCCTGATCCTTTCACTGTCTCTCTAGTTTGCCTTTTCCAGAATGTCATAGAGTAGGAATCATATGGTGTATAGCCTTTTAAGACTAGCTTCTTTCACTTAACAGTATGCATTTTAGATTCTTTAATGTCTTCTTGTGGCCTGAGAGTTCATTTCTCTTTATCACAGAATAACATTCCATTACATGGATGTGCCCGTTTATTTGTTCACCTATTGAAGGACATTTGGTTGCTTCCAAGTTTCAGCAATTAGGAATAAAACGGGTGCAAACCTTCACGTGCAGGTTTCTGTGTGGACCTAAGTTTTGAGCTCATTTGAGTAAATACCACACAGCGCAGTTGCTGGAATGTATGGTAGGAGTATGTTTAGTTTTCTGAGATACCCCCAGACTGGCCTCCAAGTGGCCACACCATTTGTGTCCCCATCAGCCACGAACAAGAGTTCCTGCTGCTCCCGTTCTCGCCAGCACTGCTGGTGGCAGGGCCCTGGTTTTGCCATTTTCGTAGGTGTGCAGCTGTTTGCATTCCCAATTCTCTAGTGATTAGATGTTGGCATCTTTTCATACGCTTATCTATTTTTAATTGCTTTTTATTGAAACCTTGCTAAACCATGTCACACTTGTGCTCTGACTCTGTAAAATAGAGACTTAGAACTTAACCTTCTCTTGGTGATTCAGAGTTACCCCTATGACATGCTACCCTCAGCAACTAGTGAAGGGGGAGCAGAGCTTTCTGCATGTCACTGAATGGTCTTTGAGTTTTGGTGTTTTTATAGCATTTTTACTCTCCTGTTACCAGGCTGTCAACTTTTCTTTCTCTTCCAATTTCCTGCCTCCAGTGTTCAGTGAACCTAGTGAGACAGTTGTTAGGCTTGTGAGCATTATGGGTAAACGAGGAGGACGACAACCCTGTGGATATGAGGAGTGGGAGGGAGGTTTATTGTTGGAGTTTTAGTGCTTTGTGCCATTTCTCTGTGGCCTTTTTAGCTTTATCTTCAGTTCCCAGAGTGCTCCAGGTAGACCAAGTATAAAGTAGATATTTACGCATAATATGTTGTCATATGGTTGTATGATGTTTATAGCTGGAAGGCACCTAGCAACAATTTAGTTACATGGCTCCACCCTTTCTGCTGTGACCATTAATGAAGATTTGATCTCTCAAAGGTATAAAGGCAAAGAATTGAGGACAAAAATAGGGAACACCTGTGGCTGGAGCCTTCCTTGTCCCCGCAGCCCTTCCTGCTCCCTCCCGTGCACATGGCCAGTGCTGCCTAGTGAAGGGACATGGTGACCCGCTCATGGCAGAGCATACTCCAGTGTCGGGTGTTTGCCCAGAGAATGCAGGAATTGTGAGCCGTGAGGGAAGACGTAAGCGTTGCCTGCCTGGCCAGCACCAGCTGCTGCTGTTCAAGCGGACAGGTAGACAGGCAGGTGAACTCAAGTCTCACTAGGCTGAGTCCATCAACTCAGACTCAGATGCTGGAGGCTGTGCCAGCGTGCTCCTCTCCCTCCCTGCCATCTCCGTCAGCGGCACCTGGCCTACTGGGACGCAGGGATTCACCTGGGATTCCTGCAGCTTCTTGTTCACAGGCATCCCTCCGCGAACACCAGAACAGGCGGGAAAGGGCGGGAAGGGAGAGCAGCGCGTGTGTTTAGTGCCTGCTTCCCGTAGTCTTCATGATCAGGAAAGTTTCATGGCCTCCCCCTTCCCTAATTTTACGTTTTCTAAGGTCTTCTCAGGACCTTTGAAGATACATGTTCAAGGTCACATTTAGACCTGGGAAGTAGGACTTACATCTATCTCTGATCTTGACCTGTGTTGTAGATGAGGTATAAAGAAAGCAAGCCAGACTGCAAAATGTTTATTAAGGACCTTTAAGCCTCTGAAACAGGCTATTTACCCAGGTTAATGATAGTTCAGAATAAGAAATGTAATGTAAATTGACATCATAGGATTGGAACTAACATTTATAACGTTCACTATGTACTAGAGAGTTGATTTTTATTGTTTTATTAAATCCATACATTAGCTTTAAGGTGTATTTACTACTGTTCTCTTTGCAGAAGAGGAAACAGGCTTGTCGAGTGACTCGCTCTGTCCTTTGACTCCTAGGAAGTTGACGAAGGAACGGAACCTAGGTCAGCTCAGTCCCAGAGCCTGTCCATCTGCCATATTCTGATTCCTTTCAATAATGTCAAGTGCAAAAGTATGCAATTCTTGAAATAAATGTTATGGTCAACTATTTTTCCGAGGTTACTAATCACTTTTTACCTTCCCTGTCCTGTAATGCTTTTTTTTACCAGGAGACTTTTAGGCAGAATGCTTTGATCTATCCAGTTACAGTGTTTATAATGACAGAGAAAAAAATAGTATCTCTTGTGGGATTAACATGAAATTGGGAATATTGCTGAAATTTGCTGAATCTGAGTGTAAATACACAGCTACTTGTTTTCAAGGCAGTCTTCATGAAATGAAGCAGTCATCCTGAGAGTTTCCATGAATTATATTTAGACCACCTACTTAGGTGACGTAGAGATCTATCAGTTATTTTTCTTAACAAGATTCCCGACAGTGCTCTTCCCACTGGGTGACAGGTCCAGAGCCATTAGCTGTCTGTGTTGTCACCATCAGTCACCAGGAGA